TGGCCCGAAAAAGAAAAACTTTCACCATCATTCACTCCATCACTGTCTTGCCAGAAGGGTGCTTTACACTACAGTTTTTAAACTGCAACATTAACACCCCTCCTTCAGAGTGCAGGCACTGTACTTCCCATCTCCAGGACTCAAATCCGGCCTGCCGGTTTCCCTGAACCCCTTCATAAATGTTACTTTGCTCACACTCCAACGGCACGTCAAGTATTAAAAACCATTTGTCTCCATTCACTCCTATCAAACACGCTCACGCATGCCTGCTGGAAGTCCAAGCCCCTCGCACACAAAACCTCCTTTACCCCCTCCCTCCAACCTTTCCTAGGCCGACCCCTACCCCGCCTTCCTTCCACTACAGACTGATACACTCTTGAAGTTATTCTGTTTCGCTCCATTCTCTCTACATGTCCGAACCACCTCAACAACCCTTCCTCAGCCCTCTGGACAACAGTTTTGGTAATCCCGCACCTCCTCCTAACTTCCAAACTACGAGTTCTCTGCATTATATTCACACCACACATTGCTCTCAGACATGACATCTCCACTGCCTCCAGCCTTCTCCTCGCTGCAACATTCATCACCCATGCTTCACACCCATATAAGAGCGTTGGTAAAACTATACTCTCATACATTCCCCTCTTTGCCTCCAAGGACAAAGTTCTTTGTCTCCACAGACTCCTAAGTGCACCACTCACTCTTTTCCCCTCATCAATTCTATGATTCACCTCATCTTTCATAGACCCATCCGCTGACACATACACTCCCAAATATCTGAATACATTCACCTCCTCCATACTCTCTTCCTCCAATCTGATATCCAATCTTTCATCACCTAATCTTTTTGTTATCCACATAACCTTACTCTTTCCTGTATTCACTTTCAATTTTCTTCTTTTGCACACCCTACCAAATTCATCCACCAATCTCTGCAACTTCTCTTCAGAATCTCCCAAGAGCACAGTGTCATCAGCAAAGAGCAACTGTGACAACTCCCACTTTTTGTGCGATTCTTTATCTTTTAACTCCACGCCTCTTGCCAAGACCCTCGCATTTACTTCTCTTACAACCCCATCTATAAATATATTAAACAACCACGGTGACATCACACATCCTTGTCTAAGGCCTACTTTTATTGGGAAATAATTTCCCTCTTTCCTACATACTCTAACTTGAGCCTCACTATCCCCGTAAAAACTCTTCACTGCTTTCAGTAACCTACCTCCTACACCATACACCATATATATATATTATATAAAGGCCTACTGCCTCGCATAGGCCAGTAGGCCTGTTGCAGTGTTCCTTCTTTCTTATGTTCTTATGAGACAGAGACGGAGAGAGAGGGATGGGGAGAGAGACAGAGAGGGAGAGAAAGACAAAGATTTATATACAGTACTTAGGGGACAACTGTTACGGACTAGTTTGACCTTTTCATTGCTTCATTTTATTGTCACGTTGTGATGTGTCAACAAGGAAGTGTGTGTGTGTGTACTCACCTAATTGTACTCACCTAATTGTGGTTGCAGGGGTCGAAACTCAGCTCCTGGCCCCGCCTCTTCGCTGATCGCTACTGGATCCTCTCTCTCTCTGCTTCCTGAGCTTTGTCATACTTCTTAAAACTATGTATGGTTCCTGCCTCCACTACTTCACTTGCTAGGCTATTCCACTTGCTGACAACTCTATGACTGAAGAAATACTTCCTAACGTCCCTGTGACTCGTCTGAGTCTTCAGCTTCCAGTTGTGACCCCTTGTCCCTGTGTCCCCTCTCTGGAACATCCTATCTCTGTCCACCTTGTCTATTCCCCGCAGTATCTTGTATGTCGTTATCATGTCTCCCCTGACCCTTCTGTCCTCCAGTGTCGTCAGTCCGATTTCCCTTAACCTTTTCCTCGTACGACATTCCCTTGAGCTCTGGGACTAGCCTTGTTGCAAACCTTTGTACTTTCTCTAACTTCTTGACGTGCTTGACCAGGTGTGGGTTCCAGACTGGTGCTGCATACTCCAGTATGGGCCTAACATACACAGTGTACAGTGTCTTGAACGATTCCTTATTAAGGTATCGGAACGCTATTCTCAGGTTTGCCAGGCGCCCGTATGCTGCAGCGGTTATTTTGTTGATATGTGCCTCCGGTGATGTGCTCGGTGTTATGGGCACCCCAAGGTCTTTCTCCCTGAGTGAGGTCTGTAGTCTTTGTCCACCTAGCCTATACTCTGTCTGTGGTCTTCTTTGCCCCTCCCCAATCTTCATGACTTTGCATTTGGCTGGATTGAATTCGAGAAGCCAGTTGCTGGACCACATGTACCCCTGTCCAGGTCTCTTTGCAGTCCTGCCTCATCCTCGTCCGATTTAATTCTTCTCATCAACTTCACGTCATCTGCGAACAGGGACACTTCAGAGTCTATTCCTTCCATCATGTCGTTCACATATATCAAAAATAGCACTGGTCCTAGAACTGACCCCTGTGGGACCCCGCTCGTAACAGGCGCCCACTGTCATACCTCTTCACGTACCATGACTCGTTGCTGCCTCCCTGTCAGGTATCCCCTTATCCATTGCAGTGCCCTCCCTTTTACGTGCGCCTGATCCTCCAGCTTCTGCACTAATCTCTGTGGGGAACTGTGTCAAAGGCCTTCCTGCAGTCTAGGAAAACGCAATCTACCCACCCCTCTCTCTCGTGTCTTACTTCTGTTACCTTGTCATAAAACTCCAGGGGGTTTGTGATACAAGAATTTTCCTTCCATGAACCCATGCTGGTTTTCATTTATAATCTTGTTCCTTTCCAGGTGTTCGACCACTCTCCTCCTGATAATCTTCTCCATGACTTTGCACACAATACATGTCAGAGACACAGGTCTGTAGTTTAGTGCCTCGTTTCTGTTTCCTTTCTTAAATATGGGGACTACATTAGCTGTCTTCCATTTCTCAGGTAGTTGCCCAGTTTCAAGGGATGTGTTTGAAGATTGTGGTTAGAGGCACACACAGCATCTCTGCTCCTTCTCTAAGGACCCATGGGGAGATGTTGTCCGGTCCCATCGCCTTTGAGGTGTCAAGGTCACTTAAGAGCTTCTTCACCTCCTCCTCAGTTGTTCGTATGTCATCCAACACTTGTTGGTATATTCCCTCTTGATGTTCCCTTCTGTGCTGTCTTCCCACAGCCCTTCCTGTCTCTACTGTGAAAACTTCCTTAAATCTCCTGTTCAGCTCCTCACATACCTCCTGATCATTTCTTGTGAGTTCTCCACCTTCTGTCCTTAATCTGATCACCTGGTCTTTGACTGTTGTCTTCCTCCTGATGTGGCTATACAACAGTTTCGGGTCAGTCTTGATTCTCGATGCTATGTCATTTTCATACTGTCGCTGGGCCTCCCTCCTTACCTGTGCGTACTCATTCCTGGCTCTGCGACTGATCTCCCTATTTTCTTGTGTTCTCTGCCTTCTGTACTTTTTCCATTCTCTATTGCATTTTGTTTTTGCCTCCTTACACCGTCGGGTAAACCAGGGGCTCGTTCTGGTCTTCCCGTTGTTACTGTTGCCCTTGGGAATAAACCTTTCCACTGCCTCCTTGCATTTTGTTGTTACATATTCCATCATTTCATTTGTGTGTGTGTGTGTGTGTGTGTGTGTGTGTGTGTGTGTGTGTGTGTGTGTGTGTTCTATAATGTGTTGATGTTGAGTGCCAGAGAGCGGCGCTGCTTAAGATAATATCTTTATTTACTACAAGTACAGGTACAAGGTATACAGACCATACCTGACATCAGTGACATACTACTGTATAGAAAACCCTTTGTTATGCAGAGCATTTCGGGCAAATAAGGTCCTTGTCTCGGGATTCGAGCCACACCAGTCGACCAACACCCAGGTACCCATTTTACTGATGGGTGAACATAGACAACCGATGTAAAGAAACACGCGCAATGTTTCTACCCGCGTTGGGAATCGAACACTGACACTCGCCGTGTGCAGCAAGAACTTTAGCCACCAGGCCACGGTTTTCCTGACATTAATGCCCCGTTTTGTGTAGCTCGTTATTTCTGAAGACTAATGTTTACGTAATCCGTAATGAAAGAAGCCTTCAATGGTTACCAGTTCCCTGGGAACTGTGTGGCCCATGTGGATTTAGCGATTTCCCATGAATATAATAATTTCGTTTTGCCATACTGCATTTGTGAGTACGTGTATGTGTATAATGTGTGTCAGGACTCAGGACAAGGGTTTCCCGACGCGGGTTTTAGTTACATGACCAGCAACTGGGGATTTTGATCATCTGACCGAGACCTTCCTATGGCTCACCCTTCCACCCCTTTAAAAACTGAGTTTGTCTCACTCTGAGTATATTCAACGTAAAGACTTGAATACTTTATAACTCTGAATTAGATCAAGCAGTGTCTGCTGCCTTCAGGGGATAAGTTCAAAGTTTTTTGAGTGAATCCTCGTTGTGTTTATTCCTTAATGAAGGCATAAAGTTAGTTCCTCTCTCTCCCTCATCTTTTATGTAACGTGGGCGTCAACACAAGGCATATTAAAGGTGCATTTAGACACTGATTGCTATGAAATCTAACCTTCATTTTATTGTCACGTTGTGATGTGTCAACAAGGAAGTGTGTGTGTGTGTGTGTGTGTGTATGTGTGTGTGTGTGTGTGTGTGTGTGTGTGTGTGTGTGTGTGTTAATCCGGCGCTCTACTAAACTGAATTGCAATTTTCACAATATTTTCATGAATGTTTTAACAATATTTATATTGTAGATTTCATTAAGTATTGTTTGTGTTACAGGGAGCGATGGACGACGGACCCAAGACAGACGAGGCACTTCCTGAGTATCCTTCAGGCGAGGCGAGTCCCTTTCGTGTTGGTAAATTAGACACATGCAACACTTGGGTATATTTACTGTGGAAACGTTTCGCCACACAGTGGCTTCATCAACAAAGAAGAATGGTGAAGAACAGGAGGAGTTTTAAGGTAATCAGTCCTTCAGTCTGGAGTCGATGTTATCAGTCCATCAATGAAGATAGATTGACTGATTATGATTACATCGACTCCAGACTGAGGGACTAATTGCGTCGGACTCTAATCTTCACCATTCTTTTTTGTTGATGAAGCCACTGTTTGGCGAAACGTCAAGAAATTATAGCTATCGTTCCCTTTCCTCGGATTATTATTATTATTATTATTATTATTTATTATTATAAAAAAGAAGCGCTAAGCCACAAGGGCTATACAGCGCTGCAGGGTAGGAAAGGAAGCGAGGGTACTGGGCGGCAGAAGGGGGAAAGGCCATCAGTAGGTTTCAGAAAAGAGCGGAGCAGGGGATAGTGCAGGGTAGAGGGTAGCACGAGATCGAGATAGAAAGGGCTGAAGGTATCAGAGTTTGCGAAGTCAGTCAGTTGTCAAAAAGTCAATGAGAGTGTCCGGATGAAAGGTGGGTCCATCAGCGAGAAGGGAAGGTAAAGAGAGAGCAGCGGAGCGAAGAAGACGTTAGAGGTAAATTCTGCGTGCTCGCTGATAAAGTGGGCAGTCAAACAGAATGTGGCTGACAGATAATGGAACCCGACAATTCTCACAGAGAGGAGCAGGGCGCCTCTCGTGAGATATCCATGAGTAAGACGAGTATGGCCAATGCGGAGACGGGAGAGAGTAGTCTCCCAACCTCGGCACTGGTGACAAGAAGACGGCCAGTAACCTATACTCGGTTTAATTGATTGAAGTTTGTTACCGAGTAGGGTAGACCAACGTTGTGAACAATAAAATGGTATAAAATACCGACAGGTTGTTAGGTAAGACACATATGCAACAGTTAGGTATCTTTATTTCGAAACGTTTCGCCTACACAGTAGGCTTCTTCAGTCGAGTACAGAAAAGTTGATAGAAGCAGAAGAGACTTGAAGACGATGTAATCAGTCCATCACCCTTGAAGTTTTGAGGTGGTCAGTCCCTCAGTCTGGAGAAGAGTATTGTTCCATAGTCTGAAACAATATGGAGTTGAAGTGATAGGATGGAGCCTTATATAGCGCCAGGAGGTGAAACGTAGGTCACTAGTAGAGGTAAGAATGTAGACGTTGAGAGGTCAGGTCCCTCTCAAATCCAGCCATTCTCACTAGTAGAGGTTGTCGAAGTTGATTTCAAGTCTGTACCAAGATACCCTTGTGTTGCAGTGTCTGACGGAGTGAACAATAAAATGGTATAAAATACCGACAGGTTGTAAGGTAAGACACATATGCAACAGGTATCTTTATTTCGAAACGTTTCGCCTGCACAGTAGGCTTCTTCAGTCGAGTACAGTCTCTTCTGCTTCTATCAACTTTTCTGTACTCGACTGAAGAAGCCTACTGTGTAGGCGAAACGTTTCGAAATAAAGATACCTAACTGTTGCATATGTGTCTTACCTAGACCAACGTTGTTGCCAACGGGTGTGAAGGTGGGTAGCTATTGCAGCAAAATAGTCCGTAAATGGAACACCTCTATATGAAACTGGTAGGTCATGTACTGCTTACCGCACAGCAGTGTCTGCATGTTCATTGCCCTGTACGTCAACATGACCAGGGACCCAACAAAATACAATATCTTCATGCTTGGTAGAGATGCGGCATAACCAAAGCTGGATACGGAGGACTAAGGGGCGAGGTGTATCAAATTTCTGTATAGCCTGTAAAGCAATAAGGGAGTCTGAGACAACCACAAATGATGACACAGGTGTAGATACAATACGGATAAGTGCTGCAAGAATGGCATACAATTCAGCAGTAAAGATACTAGCCGAAGATAGTAAATGCCCTTGTACGACGCTGTCCGGAAACACTGCTGCGAATCCTATGCCGTCAGAAGACTTAGAGCCATCTGTGTACACTGCAATGGCATGAGAATGAAAGTGGAAGTGGTCAAGAAAAATAGAGCGGGAAGCTACCATAGACAGTTGCGCTTTCGAGCAAGGGAGTGAGAAAGAACAGACTCGAACAGCTGGAACTTCCCGGGGGGGTAGGAAAAGTGAGATGCTACATGAACATAAAAAGTGGAAACTGAAGAAAGACAAGACGAATGTAGGCGAAGAGAGAAGGGACGGAGCAAACAGGGCGGCGAACAAATGAAAATGTCTACTAATATCGTGACCATTCTAAAAATGGAAGGATTGCAGAGATCATGAGACGTACATAGTAGCGAAGGAAAAGGGCATCAGGGCGATCGGATAAGGATGGAACGTTCACTCTGCATAGAGGCTCTCAACAGGGGAAGAGCGAAAAGCACCAAGGCATAAACGTAATCCTTGGTGATGAATGGGGTTTGAGGCTAGATAGAGTAGCAGGAGAGGAAAACTGAATAGATCTGGTCACCATAGCCCAAGTCTCAAATAAAATGAGGGGGGAATGTAGGCGAAGGAGAGTTCGACGATCACTCCCCATGAAAGATGAGCAAGGTTTTAAGAAGATTCAGCCGGCTGTGACAAGTTGTTTTCCAGAGAGGTAATGTGAGGTTTCCAGGATAACCTACGGTCAAAGAGGAGGCCTAGAAACCTGACTATCACGTTCAGGAACGGGAGCCATAGAGGTACAAAGGATGATCGGAGATGACAGAGCGTCTAGTGAAAGTAATTTGGTGAGTTTTGGTACTGGAAAATTTAAACCCATGTGTGGTGACCCAACTGGAAACACGGTCGACCGCATGCTGGAGAGAAACTGAAATGAGGCAGTCAGCGCCTGCACAGCAATAGCGAAGTCATAAACATAGAGTGATGACCAAATATTGGATGGAAGACTAGGGGCCCAAAATCATTTATAGCAAGGAGAAAAAAAGTGTTGTGCTCAGAACACATCCCTGAGGGACACCTTCAGCTTGGATAAAGTCCGGGGAGAGCACATTATTAACCTGAACACGGAAATGTCTGTCAGTTAAAAAGTTCTTAAGGAAGGATGGAATTGCCTCGAAGGCCTAAGGAGTGGGCTTGGGCCAAAATTTATACCCCAAGTTGTGTCATATGCCTTCTCAAGGTCAAAAAATGGCAATAACTGAGTGGTTATTCGCAAAGGCATTACAAACATACGTATCCAAGCGCAGTAAGGGGTCTATGGTAGAGCAACCCTTACGAAAGCCATATTGACTAGTGGAGAGACTGTTGTGTTCTCTAAATACCACACTAAACGTCTATTTACCAGGCGTTCCATCACTTTGCAAACTGCACTGGCAAGAGCAATGGGACGATAGTGGGAGGCTTCATGTCCCGTAGTACCCGGTTTGCGGAAAGGGTGAACAATGGCAGATTTCCACAGCTGTGGAAGAACTCCTTGTGACCAAATAAGTTTGAAAAGGCGTACTAGGACTGAAAGGGGCTGACTGATGTAAATGTTGTAGCATACGAAAATGAATGTCTCGGGCCAGCTGCCGATGATCGGCAAGCTGAGAGTGTTGCCTCAAGTTCCGAAGTGTAAAAGGCACATTAAACTGTTCTTCTCTGAGAGAAGAAAAGTCCAAGGGTGCTAACTCTCGGGCAGACTCTGAGGAAAGAAACGAGGGCATAGATGGACCCCCCTGAGAAAAACGGACTAGATGATTGCCAGTTTCATTGGCAACATCTAGTGGGTTTGCTATATCAACCCCGGCAACCCGCAGAACAGGAGCCGGGTCAGAGAATATTTACCACTCAGTTTTCGTACTTTTTTTCCCAGACTGCACTCATAGGGGAAGCAGAGGTGATGGTGGAGACATAATCTCGCCAGCAAGTGCGTTTAAGCGTCACGGATGAAAACTGCGAGCGATCGAAACGCTTCTGCTTAAAATCAAGAAGTCTCTCCGTGGTTCTATTGTACCGTATCTCCCCCACGCAGCGTGTTTCAAACGTACTGCACTAGCACAAGCAGGAGACCACCAAGGCACGCATTTCTGAGAATGCCTACCCGAATTTTTGGGGTACAGAATGAGAAGCTGCGGTTAAAACGGAGGACGAAAAAGGGGTGTAAAAGCTCTCATGAGACGAAGAAGGAACTCACTAAAAACATTTAGTTGTGATAAAGGTTTAAATTTTGCCTGATCAAATTGCCAGCGTGGGTTACAAAAAGGTGGTGAATATGAAGGAAGTAAGAATGTTTGGGGAAATGATCGCTGTCATGTAAACCCGGGGAGAACAGACCAGGTGAAGTCTAATGCGGCAGAGGAAGAGCAGACTGAGAGATCGATGCAAGAGAGAGTATGAGTCCGAGGATCAAAATGGGTGCGAGTACCTGTTTTTAAAAAATATGGAAGGGGTGGGTACAAGAAAAGCCTCTAACTGAATGACACGGGAAACACAGTGAGACCCCCCCCCCCAAGGAAATGATGGGCATTAAAATCGCCAAGTAACAGAAGTGGTGGCGGGAATGACGAAACAAGAAAGGCAATATCCGGGATAATAATGCCCGGAAGGAGAGAGATACAAAGAACAGAGTTATACCACCCCATCAAGTGGATACGGCTGCTGTGTAATGCAGCGAAGTACAACAAATAGCTGATGGTATGGAATATCAGTGCGTAGATGAAGGCACTTTCATTAAAGGTCCCATCAGGAAAGGATCTGAAGAAAAACAATAAATTATAGCCTGAGATGGGATAGATAACGGCAGAGTAATTTGGTTCCTGTAAGCAAACACCAACAGGGAAAACTGGAGAGGGAACATCTGAACTCACCCCGATTACCCCTGAGGGCCCCGAATATTCCACTGTAAATAGGCCATGATTGGCAATGATAAAGATACCTGAAATCCGCAGGTAAGGGTACCTACGGACTAGAAGGGTTAGAAAAGTTTCCCCATGCGGTAGCAAAGGAAAAAGTTCAAGTAGTGAAGGAACGGTGCATTGTGAAGAAAGGGGTTGTGCAGATGGAGAAGAGGAAAGAGAAAGGGAAAAGAGGTGGATCAGTGTCCATTGATGGTTTGGTCTCTGCAATATATTCAGAGATTGCTTCAAGTGTTTCGGAGTTCAGAGACGTCGTATGGGAGACAATATTGGAGATGGAAGGAGGAGGATTTTGAGTAAAGATCGAGCTGTAATGGACTGTACCAAGGTAGGGGAGTGCGAAAGGATGGAGGGAACTGGAGAAGTGTGGCAGGGGACAGAAGAGGAAGAAACTTGGGAGGGGACAGGGGAGGAAGGCACAGTACGAGGAGGAGGATGAACCTCCACACTTGTAACGGAGCCAGTGAAAGGAAAGACCTAGGTACAGAGACCGGGAAGGGAAAATGTGGAGGTGGATGAAGGGAAGGAGGGGTTAAAGGAGATTTGTTGGACCTCTGAGAAGTAGAGGGACGATTGGGAGGTGTCGTACGAGGTCTTGTCGATACCGGGGTTTGTGAGGGAGAACACGAAGAACTGAGGACAGACTGAGGTGTTGAAGTAGGGACGTCTGAGCCCAGGACAGCAAAAGAATTAGTTACAGGAGTGACTATGGGATTGGCAACCACAGAGGAGGCTGCAGAAGATGGGACCCCAGAAGTGGGGGGACGTTTTGAAACACGAGAATAAGAAACACGAGAATAAGAAACACGAGAATAAGAAACACGAGAATAAGAAACACGAGGTAGTCTCCCTTGGAGGCGGAGATGAGAAACTGCCATAGCATAAGGGAGACCTTCTGCCTCTTTGAGGCAACGAATTTCCCGCTCATTTAAGTAGACCTGGCAACAGCGAGAGTATGAAGGGTGAGCCTCATGACAATTAAGGCAAGAGGGAGGTCGACTGCAAGATGTATTAGAATGGTCATCGGCACCACAGACTGGGCATTCGGCTATAGATCTGCAATATTTTGCTGGGTGGCCAAATCGCCAGCAATTCTTACACTGTTGCGGTGTAGGGATCACCTTCCGAACCTGTAACCGATGTCCTGCTACATAAACAGAGGATGGGAGCTCACGGCTGTCAAAAGTTAAACGAGCCATATTGCAAGGGTATCGTCTTCGCCCGCGGGCAGGAAGAACATAAGTGTCTACCTTGAGACTTGGGAGATCTTGGAGTTCCAGCTGTTCGAGAATGTCATTGCCACACGTCTAGAAATTCTGTTGGACTATGGTATGGTGAAGAATAACAGTACCACTACAAGAATTGAGGGAATGATGTTTTTCGATAGTGATAGGAATAGTATCGAAATGTGAAAGTAGAGAAAGATCATGAGCTTGGGTAGAATTCTGGATTGTGATGATGTGCATACCACTCTTAAGAGCGTGAAAAGAAATATCTCTACCAACGTGGCATAGGAGCGCTTTGCCAATACTATGGTCAGAAAGATAGGCAATAGAAGAAGTCGGTCGTAAAGTAAAGAATTTAGTCCATTGGGGTGGCCGAAACTGAGTGTGGGAAAGGGGGTGCATGACATGTCGGTCTTTTCCGAGTAGAATGGGAAGGTAACGAAGTAACATCGTCTGGAGATTGTCGTTGGCATTTAGAAGTGGGACCAGAGTCGGACCGACGTGAGACGGGCTGGCGATTCGAAAATCGTCGCACCATAGAGGGAGAGGCCGGAAGCATAGTCAAAGGAGAGTGGAGGTCAGACAAATCGAAGGAGTCAGTGGAAGCCCCGGTACCTGAAGCGGGTGAGGAAACAGCACCAGCAAGAGGTACAAGGGCCTTGGGAGTGTCCAAAGAGTGGCCAAAAGATGAGGCAAGGTCAGAACAGGGTGCGGTAAAAATAAGGGGCCCGGGGGTAGCGGGGTCATGGATTTGGGACCCCATGGTTAGGTTACTTCTTTCTTTTTGTTTTTAAGAAAAAAAAAGAAAGAAAAGAAAATAAAAATAAAAAAAGAATAAAAAAAGGGGGGACCGGGGAGGGATAGTTCCTAGGAGGAATGAAAGGGCCAGAAATCTCCCTCCGCACCCAAGAGGACCTCAGCACCGCAAGTAGCGCAGATGCAGCATGGAACCCGTGCCATACCCAACCCTTCATGCCAGTAAACCAGCAATCCGGGATAGCAACCTCACATCTGCCGAGCTACCTGGTGGACAAAAGAGAGCGGCCACAAAGCATATCTCCTTCGGCCACCACCCCCGGAATCCGAAAGGTGGCTTCCAGAGATGCACCCGTCGCCCGAAAGACACCCAAAGCCACCCTCCGGGATACCGGAGAGGGATCGGGACATCCCCAAGCGATCCAGATCCCACGGCAAACTACGCCACCGCCAAGAACCTCAACGGAATGGGATGGACCCTGGTACCCTTCCCCCTACCTATGAACTAGTGTGCCTGTGGGAAAAATCCCAAAGGCCAAAAAGAGGAAGGACAAAAGGGAGGGGTGGGGAGAAGGAGGAGGAAAGGAAAAAGGGGAGGATGGGATAGGGAAGGGGGGATTGGGGGGTAATTAGGTTCGGTCTGAGGAAGGAGACCGACAGGCCTAATTCCTCAGACCAAGAGCCTCACCACGCCAAGGAGCCCCCCTAGAAGAGGTCCTCAGATTATACCCGAAAATTACTTCCCATTCCCCGGGTTCTGCATGTGGCCTCCTAAGGGTTTAGCATGTCCCCGTGATAACAAAAATAATTGCCTTTTAATTTGTAGCTCACTAAATTAGTTTTGTCGTAGTTTCTCTACACAACATATCTTCGTATTTCTCTTAGGGGTACTTGTTTCGTCAAGAGAAACGCGAAAGAATTCTCCTGATGTATTTTGGTCATTTGACCGAAGCCTTCTGCTGGCTTTCCTATATTGCTGGCTAAATCTCACATTATACCATCTGTACTTATTTATCATGTTCTTATTTTTTTTTCCAGTCTCTTCATAGTACCCATATATTAAAAAAATATGTTTCCCAGCATTGACATGTTTCTCTTCCTTCCTGGTATATAAATCCAACACCATTGACATGTTTCTCAGACTTCCTTGTATATAAATCCAACACCATTGACATGTTTCTCTTCCTTCCTGGTATATAAATCCAACACCATTGACATGTTTCTCTTCCTTCCTGGTATATAAATTAAGCACCATTCACATATTTCACTTCCTGGTATCTAAATATAACACCATCCTCCATGCATGTCTATACTGTAGCAGCCATTAACCTGTAAATTTGCATGCAAAATCAAAATCTGAAAGAAAGTCTTCTTGTAGGTGATGCTGGTGAGAGCGCATGTTCCCCACGTAGAGAAAGGCACGTTTGAGTTCTATCTCTGTCCTCGAACGAACCCAACCGACGAGGAATGTCTCGTGAGGTGAGAAAACGTACCCTTTTTGGTTGTTAGAAATCCTGGCACGGCTTGGATATTGTGGAACGTTGTAAGGTGTGAATGTTGCAAAAAAAAATAAAACTGCATTTTTTGTGTGTTTTGGTAACCCTTTCGTGATAACATGTACAGGTGGCCCTTGGATATCTCTGGAGTGGAGGGACGTCAGTACCAGATGACAAGGTCTATCAAAGGAGGAGAGTACGAGATACCTGTAGTGTTACCTAATGGTGTTACCTGTGACTCCTGCACCCTCCAGGTCAGTCCACGTCGGCTTGTGTAGTGACTAAGCAATCACAAATAACGAAGGTAGCTAAATGGACAGATACAACTGCGATATTTTATAATCTGTATTTGTTTACCTAACATTTTGTCGGTAATTCTGCCATTACAAATAACTATAGGGAATACAGTTTTTTTTTCTTTGGTAATGGAAGTGTAGAGCACCGGAGCATATTCTCTACCAATACGCTCCACAAGTTCCTGCTAACCTTCATAAATCCTCCCCTAAACATATCGAGATCAGTGATCTAATATAATTTCACTCGAGAACAAAAATATAGCTTTAAAAATAGAAGGTAATACTGTTGATGTACTCAGCATCTCGAAGCTTAATTAACTAAGTGTTGTATCTTCCTTTCTTTCGTATTCTTTATTCTTCATCTTATTATTATTAATATTCAACATGACCGACCTCCTCTTCCATTTTAATCTCCGTGCTGGGGCCGCTACTGATGGTGCTATTTCTATCGCTACTGCTGACGGTGGTGATGGTGGTGATGGTGCTGACGGTTATGACTTCACTACACACAGTGGACACTGGTGACAGAGCAGTGTGCCCCTGAGGATGCCGAGGAAGGGAGAGATCCTGACTGCTCCGTTCAGAGAACCACACTCTGCTCCGACATCTCCATCGTCGAGACAAAGTGAGATTTGCTCAGAATCAGTCTTGGGTAAAAATGTTATATTTACAACCTTAATTTTTAAATGAGGCGGACCAGCGAGCCAGTGGAAAGCCTCTGTCAGATGACCAAAAGCTCCAGCAGCAGCGGGTCATCTAAGACCCACGTCAGTGGAGACAATTATCCAGTTTTCCGACAAATCTTACCTAACGTAACCCGTCTTGAACGCAGAGACTGAGGTGTGTGATGTGCATCATTCCATAATGTACCATTTCCGTACTCAATGTTTGTCCATCAAAATGCCTATACGAGCATGTCCGTAAAACAAATATTCACGTATCCAGCTGAATACAAACAACATACCACAGAATGTAGTAGAGAGAACAATGCTGCACAAAGAGTTCGTATTTGGCCAACTTTTCGCTTATCAAGATAATAGATGACTTTATATAAAGCTCCATACAGGGCGAAACGTTGTCAAAATAAATACTTGTTCTGCATGGCTATCCTCTTAGCTTCAAGTATCCAGAATGACCCATATACCTCTTGTCAGCGTGCAGAATATTTATAACATTAATTAAAACTTTTCGAGATGAAACAAGTTATTTAGGTACAGTTCAGGGCATTTATTAAAGGAAACGTTTAGCCACTATAATTCCCCTTCGTTTTATTCCTGTTTACTTCCCCCTGTTAATAACAACGATGCCACTAGTCCCTCTTAATAAAAGCCTCGCAATAATTTTTTCCTACACACTTTTCCAGACGCCGTCAGAAGAGAGGCTGGGACTTCCTGCAAGGTGTCTTCGGAAAGGCCATAGAAGGAGCTGCCAGAACCATTGGTAACTGTAGGAGAGACAACTTTTAGATCCTCCAAGACACTCTACAACTGGAGAACTAAGCCGTATTCTGGCCTCTGTTTTTTTTTTCTCTCTCTCTCGCTCAGTTTGTTGACAATAGTCCAAGACGACTTGAAATAATGTTAGAGGCTTTCTCTCCCAAGTGAGAATTTGAGATATATATTATTATTATATATATATATATATATATATATATATAATATATATATATATATATATATATATATATATATATATATATATATATATATAACATGTCGTGCCGAATAGGCAGAACTTGCGATCTTGGTTAAATAGCAACGTTCATCTTGCCATATAGGACAATTGAAAATTTGTCTATGCAATAATTTCGCCAAAGTCATTCTGAACCTAACGAAAAAAATATATTTCACTGTGTTTGTTTAATATTAAATTATTGTAAACAAATCTAAAATATATTTAGTTGGGTTAGGCAAGTTTTCTAGGTTTCTTTTGGTGCAAAATTAAAAATTTTTACATTAACATTAATGAAAAAAATATATCTTCAAACGTATAAGAGAAAATTTTAGAAAGGACTTAATTTTAAGTGAGTTCTTGCTAATTGACCAGTTTTACATATTCGGCACGATATATATATATATATATATATATATATATATATATATATATATATATATATATATATATATAATTTCGTGCCGAATAGGCAGAATTTGCGATCTTGGCTTAAATAGCAAAGTTCATCTTGCCATATAGGACAAGTGAAAATTTGTGTATGCAATAATTTCCCAAAAATCATTCATAACCTAACGAAAAAAATATATTTCACTGTGTTTGTTTAGTATTAAATTATTGTAAACAAATCTAAAATATATTTAGTTGGGTTAGGCTAAAATAAATTGTTCTTGTTATAATAAGGTTAGGTAAGTTTTCTAAGTTTCTTTTGGTGCAAAATTAAAATTTTTTACATTAACATTAATGAAAAAAATATATCTTCAAACGTATAAGAGAAAATTTTAGAAAGGACTTAATTTTAAGTGAGTTCTTGCTAATTGACCAGTTTTACATATTCGGCACGACATATATATATAATATATATATATATATATATATATATATATATATATATATATATATATATATATATATATATATATATATATAATCATAGATTTAATCCAATATTAAATATATTAAAGTTGACCAATGATATATATAGCAGAATTTAGCTAAAAAAAAATTGTGTTAATTTTAGGGAAGTTAGGTGAGGTTTCTAAGTTCGTTTTGGTTCAAAAATAAAAATCATTATATCATTGTTAATGAAAAAAAAGATAGCAATAGGTCTGTAAAAAAAAATTGGAAAAATTTAAGTATCTAGGAAATTCGGATTATTTAATACAACACATATTTGTACAATAAAGGTCGAAATAAACACTAAATCGAATTTTTAATGACATTAATGATTAACTGTTAAAAGTTTTAGTTGAAAAGTAAAAACGAACTTAGTGAAGAAAATCTATATTTTGTTTCATTAAGAATTAGTCCTGGGCAATGAAGCCTAATTAATTTGAAAGTTAGAAAAGAGTAAGTGATAATTGTGTTCCATCTGCCTAGGCTACCTTCATATTTATTCTTCACTGGTCTGTTTCTGTTCTATGTCCTCTGATTCTCATCTCCTCTGCCTTTTCTTTTCATGGATGCCCATCCATCTCTCTCTCCAGCGAATACCAATTATTTCGTTAACACCGGCCACATAAAAGATATGCTTCTCCCCCAGGATGCCACACAGCAGTCGACTATCACCCAGGTACTGCTAGGTGAAGAGAAAGTCAGGTACAAGGAGGCCAACAAAGTACCTAACTACTTGTACTCGCCTATTTATACTATTTGTGGTTTTAGGGGTCGAGTCAGAGCTCCTGGCCCCGCCTCCTCACTGGCCGCTATTCGGTCTCTCTTCCTGCTCCATGAGCTTTATCATACCTCTTCTTTATACTGCCTCCACTACATCACTTCCCAGACTATTCCACTTCCTGACAACTCTGACTGAATATATACTTCCTAACATCCCTGTGATTCATCTGAGTCTTCAACTTCAAACTGTGACCCCTTGTTGCTGTGTCCCATCTCTGGAACATTCTGTCTCTGTCCACCTTGTCAATACCTCTCAGTATTTTATATGCCGTCATCATATCCCCCCTATCTCTCCTGTCCTCCAGTGTCGTCAGGTCGATTTCCCTTAACCTCGCCTCGTAAGACATAACCCTTAGCTCCGGGACTAGTCTCGTTGTAAACCTTAGCACTTCCTCTAGTTTCCATACGTGCTTGGCTAAGTGTAGGTTCCAGACCGGTGCTGCATACTCAAATATAGGCCTAATGTACACAGTGTACAAGGTTCTGAACGATTCCTTATTGAGATGTCGGAATGCCTAGATTTGCTAGACGCCCATGTGTTGCAGCAGTTATCTAGTTGATGTGCGCCTCAGATGCGCGCCTCGTATGTGCCCTGTGTTATACTCACCCCAAGATCTTTGTGTGTGTGTACTCACCTAATTGTACTCGCCTAACTGTGGTTGCAGGGGTCGAAACTCAGCTCCTGGCCCCGCCTCTTCACTGATTGGTACTAGGTTCTCTCTCTCTCTGCTTCCTGAGCTTTATCATACCTCTTCTTAAAACTATGTATGGTTCCTGTCTCCACTACTTCACTTGCTAGGCTATTCCACTTGCTGACAACTCTATGACTGAAGAAATACTTCCTAACGTCCCTGTGACTCGTCTGAGTCTTCAGCTTCCAGTTGTGATCCTTGTCCCTGTGTCCCCTCTCTGGAACATCCTATCTCTGTCCACCTTGTCTATTCCCCGCAGTATCTTGTATGTCGTTATCATGTCTCCCCTGACCCTTCTGTCCTCCAGTGTCGTCAGTCCGATTTCCCTTAACCTTTCCTCGTACGACATTCCCTTGAGCTCTGGGACTAGCCTTGTTGCAAACCTTTGTACTTTCTCTAACTTCTTGACGTGCTTGACCAGGTTTGGGTTCCAGACTGGTGCTGCATACTCCAGTATGGGCCTAACATACACAGTGTACAGTGTCTTGAACGATTCCTTATTAAGGTATCGGAACGCTATTCTCAGGTTTGCCAGGCGCCCGTATGCTGCAGCAGTTATTTGGTTGATGTGTGCCTCCGGTGATGTGCTCGGTGTTATGGTCACCCCAAGGTCTTTCTCCCTGAGTGAGGTCTGTAGTCTTTGTCCACCTAGCCTATACTCTGTCTGCGGTCTTCTTTGCCCCTCCCCAATCTTCATGACTTTGCATTTGGCTGGATTGAATTCGAGAAGCCAGTTGCTGGACCACATGTCCAGCCTGTCCTGGTCTCTTTGCAGTCCTGCCTCATCCTCGTCCGATTTAATTCTCCTCATCAACTTCACGTCATCTGCGAACAGGGACACTTCAGAGTCTATTCCTTCCATCATGTCGTTCACATATATCAAAAATAGCACTGGTCCTAGAACTAACCCCTGTGGGACCCCGCTCGTAACAGGCGCCCACTGTCATACCTCTTCACGTACCATGACTCGTTGCTGCCTCCCTGTCAGGTATTCCCTTATCCATTGCAGTGCCCTCCCTTTTACGTGCGCCTGATCCTCCAGCTTCTGCACTAATCTCTTGTGGGGAACTGTGTCAAAGGCCTTCCTGCAGTCTAGGAAAACGCAATCTACCCACCCCTCTCTCTCGTGTCTTACTTCTGTTACCTTGTCATAAAACTCCAGGAGGTTTGTGATACAAGATTTGCCTTCCATGAACCCATGCTGGTTTTCATTTATAATCTTGTTCCTTTCCAGGTGTTCGACCACTCTCCTCCTGATAATCTTCTCCATGACTTTGCACACAATACATGTCAGAGACACAGGTCTGTAGTTTAGTGCCTCGTTTCTGTTTCCTTTCTTAAATATGGGGACTACATTAGCTGTCTTCCATTTCTCAGGTAGTTGCCCAGTTTCAAGGGATGTGTTGAAGATTGTGGTTAGAGGCACGCACAGCATCTCTGCTCCTTCTCTAAGGACCCATGGGGAGATGTCCGGTCCCATCGCCTTTGAGGTGTCAAGGTCACTTAAGAGCTTCTTCACCTCCTCCTCAGTTGTTCGTATGTCATCCAACACTTGTTGGTATATTCCCTCTTGATGTTCCCTTCTGTGCTGTCTTCCCACAGCCCTTCCTGTTTCTACTGTAAAAACTTCCTTAAATCTCCTGTTCAGCTCCTCACATACCTCCTGATCATTTCTTGAGAGTTCTCCATCTTCTGTCCTTAATCTGATCACCTGGTCTTTGACTGTTGTCTTCCTCCTGATGTGGCTATACAACAGTTACGGGTCAGTCTTGATTCTCGATGCTATGTCATTTTCATACTGTCGCTGGGCCTCCCTCCTTACTTGTGCGTACTCATTCCTGGCTCTGCGACTGATCTCCCTATTTTCGTGTGTTCTCTGCCTTCTGTACTTTTTCCATTCTCTATTGCATTTTGTTTTTGCCTCCTTACACCGTCGGGTAAACCAGGGGCTCGTTCTGGTCTTCCCGTTGTTGCTGTTGCCCTTGGGAATAAACCTTTCCACTGCCTCCTTGCATTTTGTTGTTACATATTCCATCATTTCATTTACTGGCTTTCCTGCCAGTTCTCTGTCCCACTGGACCTCCCGCAGGAAGTTCTTCAACCCTATGTAGTCCCCTCTTTTATAGTCAGGCTTTTCCCATTCAACTCCTGTTATTCTCTCCACTTGCAGCTCTACTATGTATTCAAAGCACAGAACCACGTGGTCGCTAGCTCCTAGGGGACTCTCATACTTGATGTCCTCAATATCTGAGCTGCCCAGGGTGAACACAAGGTCCAATCTTGCTGGTTCATCCTCCCCTCTCACTCTGGTAGTGTCCTTAACATGTTGGTGCATGAGGTTTTCCAGCACCACGTCCAACATCCTGGCTCTCCATGTTTCGGGACCCCCATGTGGCTCCAGGTTTTCCCAGTCAATCTCCCTGTGGTTGAAATCCCCCATAACCAGCAACTTTGCTCTGCTGGAGTGAGCTCTTCTTGCCACCTCAG